AATATAGCAACTTTGAAGTTCTTTTTAAGAATTATTAAAATCATCCAGAAGGCAGGACCTATCAAAAGCCCAACTCTCCCACCATCTGCTGGCTCAGTTGGCCTTTCCATGTTTCACTTTCTACTTTTTGAGGTTTAGTCTTGTTGGGTTCTGACCTTTTACTATGTAATTTTCTTTACTGAAACATCTTCTAACTCCCTGCCAAAATCTCCTTCCATTACAATTGGTTTTGCTTCCTTGGCATATTAAGGAAATGCCCTACAGTATAAACTTTAGCATTTCTTCAGCATTTAATCAGGTCTCCTTTCTTTTAATCTCACCCAAAGGAGATGGTATTTGTAGGGAGAGAAGACAGAGGTAGTGCTAAAGGGGAAAGCAGGGATTTAGAGTAGAAAAGAATTTGGCACCCACTTCAAATTTTTGCACAGGGAAAAATATTGATGTTATCTATGAGTAGGGGCTCTATAACAACCCTAGGCCAGGGCTATAGGAAGAGTAACTGCCTTTTCTGATGGTTCTTGAAATCAACTCTTCACTTCCTCTTGATGTGAGAATCATTGATACTAGAGAAAGTCAAGGTAGACAGAGACTGGGGACAAGTCTAGAATATGTTTATTAAAAAAAAAAAAGCACACAAATACAACCATCCTCACGGCAAAATTGCTAAGTACAGGGAGATAAAAGACGTCATCATATTGAGTCACTGGGTCTAGGACTCAGAAGCTGCCGCCGGCTACTTTAAAGAAATGACTGGGGTAGAGACCACCAGTCGGGTTAAAAAAGTGGCTCCAGTCCCAGCTTAATGCCGAGCACAGTCTCTTCCCCTTTCCGGAGTGCTCAGTTCCTACCTCCCCAAGGCCACAGCGTGCTGGACCCCGGGGCCGCCGGGGCCGCCGGGGCGCGCGTCTCCGGTGCCATTGACGTGTTGGGTTGTGACCCGGGGGCGCGCCCTTGCCCCACCCTGTGCCGCCGCGTTGCTCAAGTTTCCTGTGAGCCTAGAAGTTTTTCTGTCCAGCAACCCTAGAAAGGGGTCGGTGCTGGCTGTCGCCCTAAGCGCCTGCACTCTCTCTCTTTTTGCTTCGTTGCAGCAGCTGGAGCTACCTTGAAGCGTGTGGCCCCCTCTGCCTTTCTCTCTGGGTTCCGCTTGCAGTTTGCAAGCGCATCCTTCTGTTGCATTCCTGATTTTGGACGCAGGACATCGTTCTAGGTTTCTCTTAAGCCTTGGAAAATACTAATGAACACCATTTGCACCTGAAATTCCCTTGAACTCAACCTACTGGCTACAGCAACCGAGGCCTGAGATTCCTGGCTTGTAGACTGGCACCTCCTGGATCATCCGCGTCCCATTTCAGAGCCCCATATCATCTCCAAGTGGACTCAGTAACACTTGAGGTAGCTCAATACCTCCAGCTACCTCCTTTCCCAACCCTCAGCTCCAGGGGCTGCTGTTAGCGATGCTGGCCCTTTCTGAGACCAGAGTTGGCTTGCTCCTCCCCGTCTCCTCCTTTCCTCCCATTGGGCTGGCCATATATATAACTGGAGAACTGGACAATTCTAGCCAGTTCACAGATATTTCAGGGGCTAGGCTGAAGATCCTCAGAGCTGCTTGTGATCCAAAAGGACCCTCTGTCAACCCCAGAGAGAATGGCTGGTGAGATTGGTGGTGCATGTTGGCAAAGTCAAGCCTCCCACGATCTTTCGAATCCATTCATACATAAAGAAATAGTTGGTCGGTGGCGGTGGCTCACGCCTGTAATCCCAGCACTTTGGGAGACCGAGGCGGGAGGATCAAGAGGTCAAGAGATATAAATCATCCTGACCATCATGATGAAACCCTGTCTCTACTAAAAATACAAAAATTAGCTGGGCATGATAGAGCATGCCTATAATCTCAGCTGCTAGAGAGGCCGAGGCAGGAGACTCGCTTGAACCCGGGAGGCGGAGGTTGCAGTGAGCCGAGATCGCGCCACTGCACTCCAGCCTGGGCGATAGAGCTAGACTCTGTCTCAATAAATATAAATAAAAATGAAAGTAATAGTTAATAACGGCCACCACTTATGTCTCTAATCCTTCCAGCAACCTTCCTTATGAAGTGTCCATTTTACAGAGAGGTTAAGTAACTTGTCAAAGTCCACAGGGCTCAGATTTGGGGAAGAGATGTGGCCATTAGTAAACAAGCCTAGGCTTTTCTGACTGCAGGCTCGGGGCTCTGCGGTTGTCCAAGCTGCTGTCAGGTACATCCAAATCTGGGTAGTAAAATCGGAGGCCTACTTCACTTGGGAAACAGATCAAATTCTGCCCTTACCCCCTCATTTCTCTGTGGCACATGCTTGCACTCCAGTGACTACTCCCCGAAAGTAAATGAGCGGTTGACTCTCCGGTCAACCACAGAACCCAGGTTCAGAGCTTTGCCCCCGCCTCTACTCTTAATATCTTACTCAGTGTCACAGAGGAGAACAGCTTAAGGCAGCCTTGCACCTCATCTTCAATCGAAGCTGGG